CCAAATCACTATTACTACATTCCAGGCAATCACTTTTATTATATATTGGATCCTTACAGTTTCTTTATGCAAATGGACATACATGCAACACACACAGACACATGTACATATATATTCATGTTACTTTAAAAGCTAGAAGTTAGTATAACATATACTCTCTTCTGAACCTTGATTTTTACACTTAGATATACATTAGTGATCTTTCCACACCATTACAGTTTCCTTACATTTTCTGATGTATATTGCAGTTTTGTTATATATTCAACCAATTTTTTGTGGCTAAATGGGTTATTTCTAATATTTTCAATTTACAATGCTATAATGAAAATATTTTATGCATGTTATTTGGGACTGTATAAAGTTATCATGTGGTTTAGAAAAATAATACCACTTTAAGAGTTGGAACTGAAATCGTCATGTCTGTGAAAAACTCAATGTCAATAGTAAAATAAAAAGGCAGTCAAGAATACTGACACACTCCTACAATCCCAGCACGATGGACATAAAAGATCAGGTAAACATAAGGACAGTTCTATTGGGGGACCTTGATACCCTAATGTTGAAATTGATCAACTAGACAAAAAACAAAGGAGAAATATCAAAGTTGGAGAAAACCTTTGAAGAAACTGACTTAATGGACAACAACAGTGTCACACCCAACAGAAGAATACACATTTTTTTCAGCAGCACATACATCTTCCTTCAAAATGGGCCACATACTAGTGAATAAAATAAGCTCAAGTAAATTTAAAACAGTTGAAATTATATCACATATATTAACAAATCACAGTGCAATGAAGTTAGATAACAATGACAAAAAAGACTGAAATTATACAAATGCATAGAAGCTAAATAATACAGTCTTAATTAAACAATGGGTTACACAAGAAACCAAGGAAGAAATATGACAGATTTTACAATTAAATATTGAACCCAAAATAGTATACCAGCACTTATAGGATACACTGAAACAGTCCTAACAGCGCAGTTTATAGCTGTGAATCCCCATATCAGAAAAACAGACTAAGCCCAAATAGAGGACCTAGTGATCCAACTCAAGGTCCTACAAAAGCAGAACTAATCCAAACCCAAACCTAATGAAAGGAAAAATATTATAAAAATGGAAGCAGAAATCAATGAAATTGAGACAAAAGAGCCCACAATCAATGAGTCAGAATTGGTTCTTTGAAAAAACAAACAACATATACAAACCTTAGCCAACCTAACCAGAAAAGGAGACAAAAAAAACCCAAGTCAGTGCATTTAGAAGTGAAAATCACTATGGACACTGCAAAAGCACACGTTATGATTAACCACTTCACAAAACTGTAGACCAATAAATTGGAAAATTCAGAAGAAGTGGATAGTATCCTAGATACTGTTTTTCCAAATACCCCCTCCCTTCAACCATTCTTCCTGTCCTTATTTACAAAACCTTTGTTTTCATTTTATCTTTCTGTTGTTTTTCTTTTCCCATCCTTGCGCCTTACTGTGCCCCTTCTTCCTATTTCACAATTTCTATTATACATTTTTACCCATATTTACACTTTCAATTTCTCACACTGGAGAAACAATGTGATATTTTGCACATGTGTGTATCTCATTTAATTGGCTTAAGTATGTTCTCTATGTGCATCCACTTACTTGTAAATGTCTCAGGTTTATCCTTCTTTATGGCTGAGAAGTACACCATTGTATGAAAAGAACATATCTTTATCCATTCATCATTTGATGGGCATTTGGGCTCTTTCCAAGATTTAGCTATTAAAATTTTTTCTGATATAAACATGGGTGTGCACATACTACTGTGGCATGATGCTTTTAATTCTTTTGGGAAGATACCAAGAAGGGGCATAGCTTAGTCAAAAAGAACCTCTAGTTTTACTTTTGTGAAGAATCTCCACATTGATATCCATATTTATTGTACCAATTTACACTCCTACGAAGAATGGAGTAGGGTTCCCATCTCCCCATAGCTTTCGCAGCAGTTGTTATTGGTTGATTTCTTAACAATTGTCATACTTTCTGGAGTGAGATACTATCTCAGTGTTGTTTCATTTTGCATTTCTCAAATGACATGTGATGTTGAACATTTTTTCATATATTTATTTACCATTTGTACTTCTTCATCTGAGAAGTGTCAGTTCATTTCAGATTCCAATTTTTGGATTGGGTATTTAAATTTTGGAGTCAGTTCTGTGTTTTGGTCCTGTTTCTCATGTCTAAAATCAGCAGGAATCCATATGATACAACCTGAGCATTGGGCTAACTGGAAATTTCTTCCTCATTAGTGTTTCATCATGAATTTTAATCTAAATTCTCAGTACATACTCAGAAAGTAGACAGATTTTCAGCCTGACCATAACACACATGGCCTTAAAGTTCAATTGTCAATGGGATTCCTGCTTCTCAACTGAAATCTCCTAAGTCTGGTTTTGACTGTCTCCATTCTTATCAGAATTCTGGTCGTCTCAGCTCAATCTCCCATCACACGTGGCTTACCACATTACAGCATTTCTCTAGGTTACATCTCCAAATTTTCTCAAATACTTCACACAAACCTGTTCTAAAGACTTCTAAGCCTCATGTTAAAGTATAGTTATGAAAATGGCCTCAATTTTCTGATACCAAAATCTGTCTTAGTCACATTTTTGTTGCTGGGACAAAATGTACAACCACTATAACTTAAAAGAGAATTTGCACTAATCCTTTTTAGAGGATCCTGTTGCTCATTCAGCAGGTTCCAAGGCAGAAGTAACTTCGCAGAGGAGCACGACAGATGAAACATTCTCTCATCATGGTGACCACAAATCAGAGAATGGAAAAGCCAGAGACAGAGATATGTGCTTCCAAGTTACATACATACATATACATATTTCTAGGTTTTATATATACATATAGATGATATATAAAGATGATACAGGTATAGATATAGACAGATATATATCTCAAGGTGATGCCTCAGTGACTCACCCATGCTTAATCCAGGAGTGTACTTTACTAATACTCTGGACATTTCCTAAACCAATCAGAACTGTCAATTAAGCTTAATCACCACAGGCCTCGTGGAAGATCTTTCCAGTTATTGAAGGCTGCACCTTATAGGAGAGCATAAGACCTCTTTCTCCTCCTCTCTCTTTCACTTTCCAGCTGTGAGGTGAATGGATTTGCTCTGCCATGTATTTCAACCATGAAATGTTCCCCACCAACAGAGGACTAGTAATAATTGGTCTACTTGATTGTAGGCAGAAACCATCAAATCTGTGAACTAAAATAATCCTTTTATCTCTATAAGTTGATTTATCTCTACTATGGTTATAGTAATAAAAACTGACTAACAAGTGCATATTTACTTTCACATCACTTTCAAGTTTTCAGAAAAGAATATGAAAGCATATTAATATAAACATGTAAATTAGTTATAATTATGTACATCTGTGCTTAATAAATAAAGAAACCATAAGAAAATGATCTAAGATAGAGAACTATGCTTATAAATGTGGGATGGGGTGTTAAATAAAATATATGATCAATGACTTGTTCAAAATTGTAAGCAGACTTTATTCAGGAGGAGATAATGAAGATGCATGTAGACACTAGACTTGAATTTCAAAAGTAAATTTCCCAGGGTAAAAACATTTTGATAGGCCAGAGGTTTCCTGCTTTTCCAGAACTGCCTAACCCAGTTAGGCATGCAAAAGCAACTGCAGCTGTATTTAAAGCAGGCACAGGTATAACTCATGCTAGTGACACACAGTGACATTGTCCATTTAATAGTGTTTTTACAGACAGAGTGTAAGAGTTAGGGGATCGTGAATGCTTCCACTAAGATTTCAAAGGAAAAACTGGAAGGCCAGTAGTGTGTGGTTGTGTATCTGTCTCTGCAAGAAGACCCTGAGTGATCAATGTGTCAAGCTGTGAGAATGAAGCCACAGCTGTGACTGAGACAACAGAAAGTAATGGCAGAAACATGTAACACCTGCTAGGGGAAGCTAGAAACAGTGTGCAGAGGCAGTCCAAGAGAAAGACATTATGGTCAAAATTTCTCAATTCCTTGAGAGTCCACATCCTATTTTAGTGTACCCTAGGTGCTGGGCACATAGCAAAAAGATTTCATATTTGTCTGGTTGTGTTTCAATATTGTGCTTGTTAAGTCACTTCCTAATTTTCTTATTCCCAGATTTTGGAATATACCAAAATGTATACTTACCCTGTGTCATTTTAACTTGAAAGTATATAACATTCTTTGGGTATTTTTGTTTGTTTGTTTCTTTATTTTCCTTTCTTTCTTTTGTTTCTTTGAGAGAAGTTCTCACAATGTAGTCCAGGCAAGCCTTTAAGTCAATATGTAGCCCAGCTTGGGATCAAACTTGTAGCAATCCTCCTGCCTCAGCCTCCCAAATGCGGGGATTACAGGTGTGTGCCGCCCTGCCCAGCTCTTTTGGATTTATTAAAGGGTCTCAAAGCAGCTGTATTTCAAGTAGGCAAAGGTATAGCTCATGGTTTGTTTCCTATATTTATTTCCTCGTGTATAAATTACCTGTTTGCTTGCATCTCAGAGGAAACTGTGGACCTTGGCTTTTGAACAGTGCTATAATAGGGAAAATTTGGGGACTCCTGGAGATGGAATAAATACATTTTCCATTAAGAGATGAAAATAACACTTTGGGGTCAAGGTTGATATCCTATAGTTTGAATATCAAACATCCTCCAAAGGCCCATATGATAAAGACTTAATCTCCAATTTGGTGCTATTGGGGAGGGTTACATACTTTAAGAGGTTTGGTGTTGTGGGACATCTTTGAGTGACTGCAAGGGTGCCACTGATGGGATACTAGGATTCTAACCACTTCTACCTCCCTATTTCACATTCTGGCCACAAACAAAATGATTTTGCTAGACCACATGCAGCTCTTATGACGTGCTGCCCTCCCAACAACAGAGATATTAAAAAATGAGTGCACCTTGATAAATTAAGCGCAAAAGTGTAGCTCCTGGTATTCATGGAAGACTTGTTTTTATTTATTACAGTTCCACAGAAGTTGGTTTGCTCATTCGAGAGTAGTAGCTCATGCTGGCTGTGGTAAGGCCATTCTGTGAAACCAAAGGCTCAGGTGTTCTTTAAAGCAGCTTATGAATCCACTTCACTTCAGGCTGAGAAATAAAGTAGAAGAAATAAAAATTAAAATTTCATTAATTATAGAGAATTATTGATGTGTTAAGAATCATACCAAACATAATGTGTCACAGATTTTATAGATAGAAGGGAATGGGGATATCATGTTCATTATTTCTTCTTTTTTTTGATGGTACAAGGAATCAAACTCACACCTTGCACTTGCTAGGCAGGTGCTTGTACCACTGAGCTATATCATTATTTCTAAATATATGCAGAAATATTTCTATGTATATGTGGTGATTTGGAGAATCACTGGGAATTCCAGACTTTCTAAACTATTTCACATTATATGAAATGCAGATATTTAAATTTCTTTCATTTAAATTTAGATTTAGGATTCTTAGTTGTCTCAATGAAACTAGTTATTTCTGGAAGAGTAATCAAAATTAAACTTAATACTATATTTAGTAATTAGCCTGAAAGCTTGTGAAATAGGTATCAGATTGAGAGGTATGTGTCAGGATATTTTTTAGCAAAGGAAATAATTCAGAATGTTCAGAAAATGGAACATTGTCTAAGAAAGACAGATTCTGAAAGTAGAGTTTATTCTTGGTAATCAGAGGTCAACAAGAATACATGAAACCTCATGGTGGGGGAGGAGGAAGGAGACAACTAGTCATATCCATGCTCTGGGCACAGAAAATTGACCACACAGCAAGAGAGTTATAAGACAGGCAAAAAGTGTTTGGAAAGTATATGATTTTAAAAATGCACCAGAGAAGTCACCATGCATGCCTTACAACGTTATCTTCCTTCCCACTTATTTTGTTATTTATCATTTATTAAACTTGTGAGCAGTGTCACATTATTACACTGTTGACTTTATGTCTCTAAGCCTTTCATCATATATGTTATGATAGTTTCTCCTGAAGTAACATTTTATTTCATCTACTGTTTCATCTCTGATAAAGTGTTAGTGGATAGAAAATTTCCTACTATCTATGACTAATGCAATCTTGCTCATATTTCATGTTCTTAATCAAATATCATTTTTCACTCTTATTCAATACATAATCTAATTTATAAAAGGGTAAAATTTAAAATACACACTATCCAGCTTCACCTGTTTTCATACAACTTCTCAGTAATTCTTTCACTCATTACTTTCCAATTCTGTAACAGTTCCTGAATTTATTCAATAAATAGTGAATGTTAGATACTCTCTAGGGTAATCAGATATATTAGCAAACCAAAACAGATGTTTATACACACCAACAATCAACATAATAAGCAATCTCAAATTTAAATAACCTACCAGCAAGGAACAAATTGTATGAAAAAATGTAAAGTAACAATGAGAATGTAAGAACTGAGAATTATTGCAATTTTAAATAAGGTAGTGAGAGCTGCCTCATTAAGCAATTGACATTTAAGCAAATATTTTAAAATGTCTGAGAGTTAGCCATATAAAAGTCCAGGGAAAATATTCCAGAGAGAGGAAATGATCAGTTGAAGAGCTCTGAGTAAGATTCTGGAATATTCAAGAATCAACAGAGAGAGACATGTGGCTAAAACAGATTGAAAACAAAGAGGAAAAGAAAATGAGATCAAGGAAACAAGTGTACCACTTTAGGACTGTTGACAATTGTAAACATGTTGACATTCATTCTGAAATCATGACTATTCCAAGTTTTTGCAAGTTTATTTTGGTCTTCAGCCTAATTCTTTTGATTCTAAGTACTTTTATGTTTGATTCAGATTTATTAATGAAATTCATATATACAATGAAATACATCAATTTAAGCTGATTGTACAAGTTGGTGAGTTTGTATATTACCCACACTCTTTAAATACTGCTATAATCAAAATTGCAAACATTTCAGTTTTACCTATTATTAAGAAATATTCTACATTTCTAGTTTTTAGGAATAGAGTAATTAATAAAAGAATTTTAAAGAAGATTTTGTATATGATATTTTGAATGTCATATTTTCAAGTAAGACTAGTTTCTAGCCTGCCATAGGATAACCATCACTGGCAGACAAATAGGACACAAGCTACAGGTACTTTAATTTTTGTATTTTCATATAATTTAAGTTTAAATTATTTGAAATAAATAGGCATGCAAACACATATCCAAAATGTTTAGCAATATAACTGACACAAAATATTTGCTTAGGAAATATTTTCTAATAGACAGAACACATAAATGAAGATTAATAACAAATGAAAACCACCATATTTCCAAATAAAAACTTTCAATTTATAAAACAATTAATCCATGGTTTACAACAATTAATCCATGGTTTACTCTAGCAAAGCTTTGAAGTTAATCCATCAGTAAATATATAATAATCATTACATCATACTGAACAATATTCAGTGTACTATTTTAAATAAAAAGACTTGGCTAATATCAGTGAGGGTTTTTCATTTGTTCAAAAGATAATATTTATAACATCACACAAACAGAGAATAAGATGTTATAGCTTTCTAAGGTAAGTACGAAATTTGAAGAAGATAAGTACAAAAGAAGGAGACATTAATTGAAAAACATGAAGTAATATAAATCAATGTATAATGTCAGTACTAACAATAATAAATTTTTATTTTTATATCATGGTTTGGCATTTACAAAAGGTTTTATCCACTCCATTTCTTTCTTATTTGAACCTAAGAATAATTTTTTATAATGAGCTTGTTAGGTATTATTCTCAGTTACAGGTGATTTAAACTGAATTTCACTCTCAGTCTCTCTCTCTCTCTCTCTCTCTCTCTCTCTCTCTCTCTCTCTCTCTCTCCTACACACACAT